GAGCCCCATCAGAGCTGAGACAAGATCTGCCCAGGTCCCGCAGGCCAACGCAGGCCCACCCTCCAGAAGGCACTTGATGCCCACTGAGGACAGGGGCTGTCGAGTGCACAGCTGGCTGGTGGCATCCAGCCCCCAGGGGTGCCAGGGCCGCCCGTTACCTGCTCCAACGCACAGGCCTCCTTCCCCCCAGAGTCGAACACCAGCACGCAGCCCAGTGCCATGAGGCAGGCCCAGGTGAGCAGCGCCGAGGCCCTGAGCCACCGCCGGACGAGGCACCCGGCATACACCAGCACGTAGAGGGCCACAAACACCACCAGTGTCAGGAACGCCGTGACCAGGACAGCCTGGTTGGGGTGCTCCTGTGTGGAGTGAACAGACGCAGAGATGCTGTGCCTTTCCCCAGTATGCACCACCACCTCCAGGAAGCCCGCCTTGCCCTCCCCAGCCCACTTCAGGCAGCCTCCATGTGGGCGATGCCAGCTCCCTCTGCCACCTGGTGCTCCTACCTCCAGGGGCTCCCACAGTCGGGCTTCCTTCTCACATGCTGTAGTCCTCTAGGGCCACCTTAGCCACCCCCTCCTCAGTCACATAGGATATAGCCCCACCGTGTGAGGCAGAACCAGCCTCTGTCTCCTCTAGGCTCCGCGGTGCTCTGTGCACCTGAGCAAGGCAATTCCCAGGCAAAACTCTGGAAAGCTTCCTGGAGGAGGGGACTTTGTTTCTGACTTAAAGAACAAAGAGAGGTTTGTGGGGGGAGATGAGGAGAGGTACCCATGGTGGGGGGTTGGTAAGGAGCTGAGCACAGGTGTGATGGGAGGGGCTAGGTGAGAATGCTTGTCTGGGGGCTGGCACATAGTAGGTACTCAATAACTACCTGCTGAGTGACAGCTCACATGGCTGTGGGTTACATTCATACAGATCCAGGCAGTGCTAGGAGCGCCCACAGGCCCTAGGCACTTCACACACTCCACCCTGTTAACGCCGCAATCTCTGATGCTTTCTTCTAGAATTCTCTAACTGAATTTATATTAATTGTAAAGAAAATGGAAAATGCAGTTCTTCCAGTGCTCAGTGGCCATACGTGGCTACTGGCTACAGCAGGGGAGGTGCCCAGGTCAGAGATGGTGCGGGTGGTGTCTGCCTGGACAGCTGCATTAAGAAGGATTCTGGGGACCAGCAGATACATCATGGTTACGTCGCTGGACTCCCACGTAGTCGACAGCAGTCCGAGTCCCGGACCCGGCGACTTAAAACTCACACCAGGAGCGTGTGTGTGCGTGCCCAAGATCCAGAGAGGGGAATGAGGAGAAGGGATTGCGGCGTGACTATCCCCCCTGGGGGGTGATATCCTGCTTTCTGTCTCTCTGTCTCTGTCTCTCCAGTGAGCACACAGGCCCTATAGCAAAAATCTCTCTGAAAATAAAGAAGGATTAATGAGGAGCCAACAGGTGGCATGGTGGTTAAGGGGCTGGACTCCCACATGGCTGACCACAGTTCAAATCCTGGACCTGGTGACTTGGTTTGTCACTTTCCTTTTTCTCTCTCTGGTGAGGGTACATACTCTATAGCAAATGAAATAATAATTTTAAAATTAAATAAATAATTCTTTAAAAAAAAAAAAAAAGATTCTGAGATTACAGCCAGTAACAGTGAGGAGCACAGGATAGATTAATGCTGTCTGCTGTGGTACAGGACGTGATGGATTGATGATGTCTGCGATGGCACAGGACGTGAGGGACATGATACACAAGCCAGCCCTGACTCAGGTCTCCACTGTAGAAAATAATGAGGGCAGTTTATTTGGCCAAATCAATGTAAAAGCCATCCAGACGTCGAAAATAAGTTAAAAAGAACTATCTGTCTTATACCAGCCTAAATGTGCCCCATAGCATGTCACAGAGGAGGAAACGGGAAGATGAGGATATGCCCAAGGTCTGAGTGTCTGAGTGTCAGGGCTGAGGTCTGCAGTCTGGAGAACCCCCCATCCAGAGGCCACTCTTGCTCACCTCCTGGCTGAAGGCAATGGCGATGAGGGTGACGCAAGCGGTGATAGCCACCAACAGGAGTGTGAGCAGCAGCGGCCCATGCTGGCTGGTGAGGCGGTACTTCTCGTAGAGCGCATCTTGGTCGGGGCCCTCCTCACCCTCATTGAGGAAGTAGCGCCCCTTGGCTGGCATCCTCCAGCCTTGGCGTGTTCACCCAGCAGGCCACGTGGGAGACCCCACAACTTGAGGAACATCAGTGTGCTGGCGCCTCCCCCAAGGGTCTAGGCATCTGGCTTCTCCGAGGCTGGTGAGAAGGGTTGGATGGAGGCCCTCTGGGCCTGCAGCTCCATGGGCCACTCGAACCTCCCCCACTGCAAATGCCAAGCTTCACTCACTGTACTGCCAGCATCTTCCTGTGCATCCAGGCTGGGGTGACCGGGCACGTGAGGGTCTAAGCTCTGCAGAGACAAAGCAGACCTGGGATGTGACTTCCATGGGCTGAGAAACCAGAGAGCAGGGTCCAGGTCTCACAGGACCTACATCTGATTTCTCAGATTAACCGTAAAGTAAAAAGCTTGGCCCAGCCCCAAGTCCTACAGCTGTTTGCTAGATTTGCACTATCTCGTATGATAGCCACTAGTCACATGTGACCATTTAAAGTAAACTTAGGGCCAGACAGTAGCACGGTGGTAACACAACTGGACCTATATAGGACAGTCCTGGGTGCACAGCCTGGAGTCTCCCTGTGCACAACCATGGTCCTGTCTGACTGAAGCTGGGGGTGAACTGCAGTGCGAAGCCCTGTTGGGGGCTTTCTCACTCACCTTTGGAAGAAATGAACTGATTTTTAAGTAAATTTAAATCACAAATAAAATTTAAAATTCAGCCCCTCAGTCGCACATATAACTTTTTAAGTGCTCTACTGCAACATGCAGCTGGTAGCTACTGTCCAGGACAGCATAGACACATAGCACTTCTATGACTGTAAGAACTTCTACAGGATAGCAATGCTCTGGAAGCTGAACTGTTTTGCTTTCACATGTAGGTCTCTGAGCCATTTGAATTCATTTCCTGTATGGTGTGAGGTAGGGATCAAGGTACAACTCTTTTTCTGAGTGGATATTTAATTATCCTGGCAGTATTTAATAAGTCAGTCATCCTTTTTTCATTGAGCTTCAGTGAGGTCACCTTTTTCATCAGTTGGGTGACCATGTATGTGAGGTCTGTTTCCAGGCTCTGTTCTGTGCCCAGGGTACTTACATGGCAAATGCCACACTGACTTCATTACTGAGGCTTCCCAGTGAGTCTTGTGCCTCTAGACTCAGAAGGTTCCAAACTGTGATCCTAGGAGCTGTGGGATTTGGAGACATGCCTCAGGGCCCAGATGAGATGAGGAGGCCCAAGGGCACAGGCCCAGGCCTCCATGCCTGTTTGACCAGGGTATCCTCTTGTGTTAAGCTTGAACATAAAACTACATTTTCTTAAAAAGGCCCACTGACACAAATTTCAGAGGTTTACAAGTCCCACTGCACAGAAAAGAAAGTAGAACCTCCAAGAGGGACCCTTTGTAACAATGTTGAAGCAGACCCAGGCTCATGATGCTCAACCTAGATGGGCCCTCCTAGTACCATTTATTCATTTGCTCATTCATTTATTTCCAAAAAGCTTATCAAAACTAGCAGATGGCATGGTGGTTAAGGTGCTAGATCCCACATGGCTAACTGCACAGTTTGAGTCCCAGACCCAACAGCCTGAAAATAATAATAATAATAATAATAATAATTGTGGGCACATGTGCCCAAAATCCCAAGAGGAGTATAGAAGAGAAGGAATGGCGATGTGGTCATCCCCCTGGGGGTACTTTCTCACTTTCTCTCTCTCTTTCTCTTTTCCATGAGTGCATGTGCCCTATAACAAAAAAAATAAATTAATTAAATAAAATTATTTTTTAAAGAAAGAAAAGGCTTGCCAATCATGACTATGGCCTGTGTCAGCTCAACTGCACCGCCTATGTGCTAGGCTGTCTCTCTTCCAGTCCCCAAAGAGAAAAAGTTACCCAAAAATATGCAATCCCTAGATACAGCAATTGGAAATTAGAGATGATTGTGATAGTCCCAGGAGGAACTGTGTGTTAAGGGAGCAGCCCTGGAACAGGGAGCCAGGCCCTTAACATCCTCCAGGCCTTCTTCAGGTTGGAACCAGGATGGTGCAGATGTCAGAGGGCAAGGAAGCTGTGAGACTCAGCAGCTCATGCCTGGTCACCTGCAGAAGCTTGGAAGCAGTGGTGGGCCAGAGGAGGGAAGGTGGGGAGGTAAACCAGAAGGCCCCAAGAGCAAAATGGCAGAATACCTGAGTCTTAGGAAGCCTCCAGTTGGCACTTGCTGCTGAGGCCCCTGGGACAACCTTGGATCTAGGACCACTTCAGGCTCCATGGCCTTCCAAGAGCACCTATTCCTTTACCACGAACCCCAGGAACGAAATGGAAAAGCCACCTATAGAAGGAGGGGCCATTTACCAGGAGTCTTGCTTCCTTCTGTGCCCAGCAAGTGTCCACAGGCCTTGATAAGTCTTACCAGGAGTAGCCCTGTGGGGATTGGTTCCCCAAAGTACATGTATTTCTACATGAAATATTGACCACTCTTTTTTCTTTAAGAATTATTTTATTTAACTTTACTTATATATTTATTTTAATTTGACCAGAGAAGGAGAAAGAGAGAGAGAGAGAGCAAGTCGCAAGGTCCGGGATTTGAACCACAGTTGGCCGTGTGGGAGTCCAGTGCCCTTAACCACCGTGCCACCTCCTGGCCCCTGATCTTTCTTTTTAATTTGCCAGAAGGCACATGTGCGGGAACCAGCAGTTAGCATAATGGCTATGTCGCTGGACTCCCACGTAGTTGACCACAGTTCGCGTCCCGGACCTGGTAGCTTAAATCTCACGCCGGGCGCGTGTGCGTGTGTGTCCAAGATCCTGAGAGGAGAATGGAGGAGAAGGGACTGTGGCGTGACCATTCCCCCTGGGGGGGTGATTTCTCGCTTTCTGTCTCTATGTCTCTGTCTGTCTGGCGCACACATGCGCCCTATAGTGAAAATCTCTCCAAAAAAAAAAAAAAAAAAAAAGGCACATGTGCTTGGCAGAGACAGGGAGAGGAGGAGAAAGCATTTCCCATGGAGATGGTCACATTGCAATCTCTTCTTTTCCATCTCTCCTTCCTCTAGGATTTTGGGCATGCATGCACGTGTGCCTGGGATATTACACAAGCCACTGGGTCCGAGACTTGAACCACACATTTGGCTAGGTGGAATCCAGCCATCCTAACCACCATGCCACCAGCTAGCCTGATTTTTTTTGGGGGGTGGGAGCAGAGGTGTTTGCCTTAGGGCTCATGTGTGCTTACCAGAGAGAGAGACAGAGACAGTGAGAGGAAAAGTGAGAAATTACTCCCTAGGAGGGATGGCCATGCTGCAATCCCTTCTCCTCAGTTCTCCTACCAGGATCCTGGGCATGCCCATACACCTGGCGTAATTGGGTCTGGCTGTGATCAACCAAAATACTAATTTTTAAATGTTGGCAGCTAATTTTTAAATCTTAAGTGGTGCAGCCACCTCTAAACCTAAACGAGCCAGTCTTTATTCCACAAGAGGCATGACTTGAACACTGTGTCTGCCCAGGCCTGTGTGGGGCTTACAAAACAAGATAATGTGCCTGCCTACCCAAGCAGCCCCCAATCCAGGGCACCCCTAAAATAACTCCCTGCAGGAGTAACAGCAGCAGGCCCTGCACTTTCATCTTCATCGCCTGCTGAAGGACCACGTGCTAGGACCATTTTGCAGATTCCAAACCAAGCCCAGGGAGGCAGAGTGGCTGCCTACAATCGACAGCTGCAGCTGGTTGGTAGAAGGACAGGGACTCAACCCCCAGTCTGCCAGTTCCCAACCAGGACTACAGGGCCCAGACTACCCCAATGACATCTGGGGGGCTGAGCCAGATGTCACAGGCACACACCCAGCCTGCCCCTCAGCTGGTGTCAATACCAGCACACCAGATCGCCAGACCCACAAACCCTCGGAGTTGTCTGAGTCCTAGACAACTCCCCGTGGCTGCTCTGTCCTCTGGGTGACGTTCCCAGACCAGGGCTGAGGGCAGCCAGGACACACCTGTACAAAACAAGAGTGCACCCACACACACATATACACACCACCTTTTCTCCCTCTGAAGCTGACCTGCCCTTGCAGGAACACTGAGCCAGGGCAAGCTGGGCATGGAGTGAGAAGAACCAGTTGAAAGGTTCCGAAGGGCCGTGGGAACCCGGCCTGGTAAACACTCCTCTCAGGGAACTAATTAGGCCACTTCCTGGGCAATGGCAGTGGGGAGAGGAGTGCACAATGGCAGCCCTGGGCTTAAGGATTTGGGCCCACCCAGGGACCTTGCAGCTCCTGGAACAAGCCAGGCCATGGAGGCAGGGCTGGGGCAGGAGGAATGACTCAATGATCTCCTGGAGAGATGGCCCAGTGCCACCACCAGCAGGCCCTCCCCAGACCAGCTCCTCCCTGGGAGATACCCCCAGCACCCTGCCAGGGAAGGTTGCAAGGCCCCTCGGCATAGTCACAGTTCCTCTGCTAGTCACTGCCTCAGCCGGCAAGTAGCAGGGCCTTGCTGAGGCCATACAGGAAGGAAGAACCTTTGGCCATGTCACTAACAATGGGCCCTGCACTTTGGCTTACGTGCCTCAGAGACCAGGAGCTCACCCCCTCTTAGAGCAGTCTCCTTCATCACTGAGCACTTCTGGTTGTAAGACCTACCTCAGGTTGGAGCCGGCAGGTGGTGTGGTGGTGAAGGGTGTTGGACTCCCACATGGCTAACTGTGGTTCAAGTCCTGGACCTGGAGGCTTGCTTTCTCACTTTCTCTCACTCTCTCTCTTTCACTCTTACTCTCACTTTTGCTCTGTCCCTCTCTCATCAAATTAAAACAAATAAATAAGTAAAGAAAAATAAATAAAAGTTAAATACTTCTTTGGGGAAAAAAAAAAAAAAAGACCTATCTCAGGTCAAGCCAAGTCCTGCCTCCCAGTCAATCCCCCACTCCACCCCACAGGTCCTGACCCAACCACAATGTCATCATGCCCCGGGCAGAGAAATGAACACAGGCAAGTTGAGTCCCCTTTACCTAAAGGGATTGTAGTCTCTGGTCTCTCACTGTCATTCACACCTCATAGCCACCCTGGCGACAGAGCAGGGTGAGTGGCCCCTTTATAGAGGAGGTCACTCCGTGGTCCAGCTGAGAGGATCTTTTCTGTGGCTGTGAGCAGCGTCTCCTCCCCTGCTCTCCATCCCATGGATCATGGGCCACACAAGCCCAGTCTGGCTAGTCAGCACCATCTCTCCCAAGCCCCAGCAACCCAAACCATCCTAGTGAGAATCCTCTCTGGGCCTTTAACTAACTCAGGGAAAGGGGTACCC